CATCTTTTTTGATTGCTGAGTAATATTCCACGGTGTATATGGACCACATCTTCTTGATCCAGTCATCTGTTTTGGGGCATTTGGGTTGTTTCCAAAGCTTAGCTATTGTAAACAGTGCTGCCATAAACATAGGGGTGCAGGTGCCCTTTGGAATTGATGTTTCTGTGTCCTTTGGGTAAATACCTAGGAGTGGAATGCAAATTAAAACTACAATTGTTAGGGGGGAAAAGGATGTCCTAAAGCTAATTCCATACAGGCTTTGTGGACTCCACCCCCACCCCAGGCCAAGCCAAAGACACTGGGAACTCCAAATCCCATCACCACCAAAGGGAAGCTGGCTGGGACCTGAGGGTGGGGTTCAGCAGCCAGGTTGGTATTAAGCAAGACACGTGGGCTTTGGGGGGGGTCCCCCATTTTGGCTCTCCGCCAGCTCGTAGCGTCAGGCCAGCTCTGAGAGTGCCTTTGGGTTTCCAGGTCGGCGGATCGGGTAGGACGCATTAAAGACTTTATTTCCCTATTTTCTCCCTGAGTTGTACATTTTCCATATTTCCTTTTCCCTTGTAAATAAACCATTTATTAACCTTTTGTGTGTGCCTGCAGTGGAGTATGCATAAGTCCCTTGTAAGTGCGCGGGTGAGGACCCACAGCCAGGCAACCTGTTCAATATCGGGGCTGTCCTATAACACAATGAGATACCACCTCACACCAGTGAGAATGGAACATATAAAAAACCTAGCAACAACACATGTTGGCGAGGTTGTGGAGAAAAAGAAACTCTCCTGCACTGCTGGTGGGAGTGCAAACTGGTTCAACCACTATGGAGAGCTGGAGATTCCTCAACCTACTAAAGACAGAGCTTCCATATGATCCTGCAATCATTTGTTTTAACCTCGGACACTGCTGTCAGGCTCTCCTGCTAACCTGGCTGCGGCTCTGGTTGTTCCAGAGGTGGCCGGTGGCGGCGCTTGCAGGTGGCCCTTCTGCTGGGCCTGCTCCCTTGTGTTGTTTTGATATTTGTTCTTGTTATTATTTTTGTCTCATTTCTTTCATATTTGGTTTCTGACACGTCAGGATGGTTCAGATTCATCTGGGGTGTTCTCTGCCCCACCCTGGAGCAAACTATTCACGGGGGTACTCCTGTCCCCCCCATTGCCCGGCACACCCCACAACACTGCGCGCCATTATGGAGCATCTGCCCTGCTGAGAAGCATCCCATTTTCTCTTGCTGAGGAAGCATTCCCTCTTTGCTCCTCTTTGTCCTTTCACCTTTATGTCTCTGTTTACCGTGTTACAGCTTTGCCTTATTCAAGTGGGCCTTGATTTTCTGATACTTTTTAACTTTTGTATATAAATTTTAGAATCAACTTGTAAAATTTCAACACCTTACCTGCTAGGGTTTATTTTGTTTTGGGGTGGGGTGGGATTGGCATCTATCACTAATCCTTTATAATATTCTGCATTGAGGTCTTGTGCATTTTTTTGTAAAATTAATTCTACTTGATGTTTTTATGCAATTGAAAATTATGTATTTAGAAAATTGCATTTCTACTAGTAAACGGAAATAGAATTGCTCTTTCTGCATTTGTCATATTTAGTGACTAGCTAAATTATTTAATTCTATCTTTATCTGTAATTTGAAAAAAATCCATATTAAAAATCAGGCTACCTGTTTATAATGGTTTTCATTTCATCTTTTGCAGTATATATATTAATATATGTGAACTATATTTATGAATTGGATCTCTAGAGAGATTATATATACATGTATTGTTATTGTGTTGACCAGGACCTCCAGGACAGTTCTAAAATGGAGACGGAGGATATTCTTTCCACGTCAGATATGAACAGTTCACCATTCGGTAAGAAGTATTTGAGATTCCACTGGATTGTCTGTGTCACTCATCCTAGTCTACAAATATTTTACACTTCCCTGGTGATTTTGGGTGCCATTTATTTATTTATATTTATTGCCTTCTTTTTTTCTTCTTCTTCTAAATAGAGGCATGTTTTATTTTATTTATTTATTTGTTCGTTTTGTTTACACAAGCACTGGGTACAGTCAGAAGCGCGGGAGGGTGAGAGAATCCACCAGAGCCAGAGCGGGGAGCAGAGCAGGCAGAAGGACCGAAGGACACTGCTGAGGGGAGCAGCGGGCGGCAGGAGAGGTCTGCGCGCCATGTGGGACCCTCCTCCGGTGGCCGGGGAGCAGCCGGGGTTCGAACCGGCGCCGCAGAGGCCGCGGGCAGCTTCTCAACCCAGCGCTCAACCGCTGCGCCACCGGGGAGGCCCTTATTGCCTTCTTGATTTGACTAGAAACTTCAGTAGAAGTTGAGAATGGCTAGAACTAACACCCTTTTCTTGTTTCTGATCTCAGGGCACAAGATTTCAGTCTTTCATGATGAAGTGTTCACTGTAGATTTTTGAGTAGGGAGTTCATCAGTTGAAGAGCATCTGGTTTCCACAGGTATTTTTCAGAAATGAACTTTGTCTCGCTGTAAAGATGATTATATAGTTTTCCTTTTCTAGTTTAATATGATGAATTAACCTTGCCATTAACCTTGATTGATTTTGGAATGCTATATCCTGTTGTTCCTGTACTATAATCTACTTGCTGAATTTGATTTGCTAAAATGTTTAAAATTTTGGCATCTCTTCGTGAGTGTCGCCAACCAGCAGTTTCTTTGTAATTGTGCCTGCTTTTGCTGTAGGGACTGAGCTGGGGCACACCCCTTCCTATTCAGTGTTCAGAGTGAATGTGTAGTAGGCAGGTATCAGATAAAAGAACAAGACAGTGATGAAGAAAGTGAATGGCAAATTCTGTACTGTGTCCTGAGAGACCACAAACACTATTCTAGAGAATTGCTGCAAAGCATTAAGCAAAGGTGAAAGGATGGTTAGCCCTTTATTTTACTTCTCTTTAGAGAGAAAACCAATTCTAGTCCATATGTCTCTCTAGGAGAAGCTAGGGACCCCTGAAGTCAGTCACATTCCAGAAGCGATGCCTGATTCAGAGGATTCCTCTGTTCGGGCGGGCTCACAGCTTGCTCAAAAGGCTAGCAAGGGATCGGGATGGGCATCGAGAGAGTTTTGCTATCTTCTGTTTACGTGTAGGAGAGTGAAAAATAACAATGAACCGATTCACTCAAGGTTAATGGCAAATTCAGAAACCATTAGACCTCTTGCCTCTTGTGGTGACATTATAGTTGTTTCCTTAGTTACATTTATTTCAGTGAAATTGCTTTTCATTTTTATCTTACTTCTGACTTTAGAATCTAACTCCAAATAAAATGCAATTTTACAGTAAAGTAATTCTTGTCAAAGCAGGCTGCTTTTACTCTGACGCAGCCTCTTACTGCGAGGTCTCCTGCGGGCTCCTCTCAGCTGTTGTCATTACGTTTGCTCCCAAGACGAGGATGTCCACTTTGGCCCTGCCTCTCCCGGTGCTCGGCGATGGGGTGGAGTCATCATCCTCAGTGGCCCAATTCACCTGCTGTCGCGTGAAGAGGGACCCAGGAGGCCCCCCCCAGAGTCTCCTCCCAGGACGCAGTGACTGAACAAAGTTCTTTTGGACATTGATGTTTGCTGGAAACAAACATCCTGTGAGAGGTAAACTGCAAATACCGTGTAAGATGGGAACTTGCAGAGACCTTCTGGAAAAATAGAGTAGTATGGAAGAAAGAATAGCACGCCTCTCTCCCCCAGATGCAAACATGATGGGGGGGAGGGAACAGAGCTAGAATTAGAGACAGATGTGAAGGGAGATCAAGCAAACAGAGACAGAGGCAGCACGCTAATATAAACATGGGGCAGCCGTGTGACTAAAGCTCGGCGCTGCTCCTCGTCAGTTTTTGAGTCAAAGTATTGCCTTTTTCTATGAGCTCATTAAGTTTTCTTGTCATGTCAGCCAAGCGCTTACCGCCATTGTGTGTGTTTGCATTCATCTTCTTACGCTGCCAGCTCTCACTAGTCCCACCTCAGACTCTTCTTGGAACCCTAGACTCAATCCATGAATACAGTCGACTTTCTGCTCTATTGGATGATGGAGCAGCTGGATCTTCCATGTTCACAGTCAGTGACAGCGGGTTTCCCCTCAGACCTACTCCTCCTGCCTTCCACTTCTCAGGATGCTGCCGCCAGCTTTCTGTGCTCACGTCAGAAATGAAATTCATCTTAATTATCCATCACCCTCCTTCTCCGCACCTCCAACCCACCAGCAAGTCCTTCTCCCAGATACATGAATCTCTATTTCTCTTCATTTTTACCCCCTCAAACCTTGTCCAATACTCTCTCTCTCTCTCTCTACTGTCCTCCTAATTGTCTCACCATTTCCTTTTCTAATCACATCTCTCCCCTGTGCCCACACTCTGCCCCTCTCCTTCCTGAGCTGGATGACTCTCCTTTCTTTCAGTTTAGCCTCAATGACATTCCTTAGACAGATGACCCCTGAGGGTGCCCTCTGTAAACAAGAACCCCCTGCCTACACTAGGAGTCTCTGCCCAAATTCCCAGATCATTGCTTCATATCATACATTATAATTGACATTTATTTGGTAGAGAGTTGATTTTCTTTATGTAAGCTCCCTGAATGGGGAAACCATGTCCTTTGTTTATTGCTAAAACCTTGTGCCAAACTGCCTGCGACTACACAGACACTCAGAAGTTATCTGCGGAATAAATTTTATTGTAAAGCTTATTTTTTAAAGCTGACTTCTGATTTTGACAGTATGATGGGTTAGGCAAATTTTTGTTTTTTTAATTACAAAAGGTCAAATAATAACCTAACAGTGGGGAAGTCTGGTAGGCAGCCATTCCTGGTCTCACTGTGCAATGTGCTCTGTGATGGTGGCCCAGCAGCAGCTGAGTCGATCCAATTGGAAATGTTGTCCAGCTACCCTTCTCATATTGTAATTAACTGGTAGACATTGTTACACTGATGAAAATGAAAAAAAAAATGCATAATAGGGAGAAAAAGACAGAAACATAAAAAATAAAAATCACATTTATTTAAAGAAAAATATACACAGTCTACAATGAATATGGTTTACACAGAACAATAAAACAAAATGATATTTGTTCAAATGCCAGTATAAAGTGATCTAACCTATTCATGCCTCTGTTCCTAGGAATACAAATTATTGGTTCTTCTAGAATACATACTTAACATAAAAAAAAAAAACAAGTGCCAACATTTCTGATAAGTACCAAAAGAACATGAAAATTGGATGCTAGGTTAAATAAAATAATAAAATATCCTCATGGAGTAGATGTGTACAGAGGAGGACGGCGTGCAGGGCAGCAGTGGTGTGTGTGGGTATGGACACGAGGAGTTTTTGCCTTTTAACATCTGAAAGCTCGTGGACATGAAATACTTTTTAATATTTAAGAACATCATAAGAATTATTCAGGCAGTTCAGCTAACTTGCCAATACTTGAGTCACTATCTCTTGCTATTAATGAAACTGCACCAAGTCATCATTAAAGACAGCCTCTTGAACCGTGTCCTTGGTGACCTTGGGGAATGCGGATGCTCTGAAGGCTGTGAGTGTATTTATCCCACCAGTGTGGAGGCCCAACTTCTTACTTACTAGAAGATGCGGGTTATCAGAAGCCATCACTTGTGTTCTCTCCCCTGATTCTCACTCCCTGGGTACTTAACTATGAGCCTGGTTTTCACTTTGTCATTTAAAATTGTCAATATCTATAAAGCTTCCGGCTTAGGAGAACTGACTGCATGATGCACTTTTTTGTAAATACTATGTTACAGTTTTTTCCCACCTCCTGGTTACTAATAGCCAGATAGGATTTGTTCCGTTTGCATTGTAAATGTTTTAGACTTTCTTTGGTTTAGAAATAAAATTCAAAGAGTGATTAACATGCACTGTAACTCAGAAAGTCAAAAGCCCAAATTTCCATCCTTAACTTGACACCTAATCGACTTGCAATACTATTTTCAAAACATTAATTTTATGTTCTTATCCTTAAAGACAGTTTTGCTATAGGTAGCATCTGTTTTGCTAGAAAATTAAACTTAAAATTGCCCAAGAAACAAAAGCTTTAAATTTTAGGATGTTTTTTTATAAGGCAATGAAACATAAATATGGGGGAGGGGAGAAGCACAGCTTCTGTAGATTGCAGCTGGGCTAAATAAATGTGAATTCATAGGAAAATTGTCAATCAATTCCACAACTCAGCAAATCTTTCCTTTCAGTAGTGCCTGATTTCTGACGCCTCCAGCTAACAGGCCTGCCTTTCTTCAAGATGCTCTCTTTGCTCCGTAACTGCTGATCATGGTTTTTCTTGCCAGTTTTTTTAAATCTGTGATAAAAGTTAATTTATTTCTTAGAAGATTACAAAAGGCACCCTGTATATTGAACTAAATGAATGATATACCATCCTGCTTGGAACTCAAATACCTCAAACAGCTGTGGTGATTTAGTCTCCTGCCAGAGTTCAATTTGTTTAATCTAACAGTTTGGGTTCCAATTGAGTTATATTTATTAGTGTCTGGGCATGGTAATATGTTACTGTTTCTCCTGCCTTTAGCAAATGCTAAAATTATACATTTAAAAATTGACACTGAAGCACATTTTCAGGGATAGCCAATTAAACTAAGATTTCCCTGAAGTTAGCCCCTAGTTCCTGCTTCCACTAAAGCTCCATGGTGAAGAATCCTCTTTGCAGAACATCACCAAGAGATAAGTTTTTAGACTCATGTTATGATTAAGTGAAATTATGAATAAAATAGAAACATCAAATATTATTTACAGCCTTATTGGATTCTTTGAAGAGGATAAAAGCCACAATAAAATTGTAGCCATTTGAAGATGAGTGATTGCATTTAACAGTACTTACATAATTTTCTAGTGCTGTCAGTAATTTGTTCTTCTCTGGAGAAAAATGGATGGTGCCACCTAGTTGTGGGCTGGTAAGTGTTTACCAACTAGACTTCCAGAAAGGAGAGCCCCAGTTTGCAGCATTTGTTAATTTCTGTGGTTTCTCAATACTCCCACCTGCTCAACTTCAAGTTACCAAGTGTAGATGCTGAAGGTGGGGTATCAGCGCCCCAGGCGGGCCTCCACAGCACTAAGGCAGCTGCCAGCAATTGCCTCCAGGCCATGGTGAATGAAAAACTGTAGTAAATAATCAGGAAGTGGTAAGTTTTGATTATTATTCATACTGTTAAAAAACATATTCATTCATAGTTTATAATTTAATATTGGATGGTGGTTGTGTGGAACAACCCATTTACAACAAATTCCTGGAAACATGATGATGGACCTCGTGACTCAGCAAAGTGCAGCACAGCCCATCTCCTCTCCACAGCTCAACCATCAACAAGGGAGGGATTTGAGTGGCTTGAGATAAAAAAGCATTCTCTATACAATGCCTTTTCTTTTCCATTGTAATTTTATTTTATGCAAAATGCCATCTAGTTGGAAAACCAAAGGGAAGAAACCTCCACCTTGGAGCTAGGTGCTAGGACATCCTGGTTGTTCAGAGAATCAGGTGTTTCTCCTTTAAAGTAAGGGGCTTCCAGAGTCCTGAGTCAGCAGCCAGGCCTGTGGCAGGCTGCTCTTCTCTAGGATGTTGGTCATATTGGCACAATCTGTTACCTGGATCAAAGAGTTGCTTTGATGTGCTGGATTGGTGGACTGAACACACTACATCAAAGGATTGCTTTGGCAAAGAGTAGACCAAAAAATTCAAAACTGTATCTACCAGAAAAAGAAGAACCACCCCAAATCAATCACAGGAGGAAAAAAATGAATAGGTACCTCCAAGTCTGGGTCTAACATTTAAAAGATTTCTGCTCAAGTGTTTCTGTTCCACTATTTTGTGGACCATTTCCAGGCCCTAGATCTTTTGTCACTGGGTCAAAGAAAGTGAGATTCCACTTTCCCTTGTTTTTAAGTGTGTTTTCCGTAGGACTCTGTAAATAGCTAATACAGAATGGTATCTACAACATTTGGGGATATTAGAGTGGAAACATGTTCTCAAGCAAAACCAAAAAAAGGATCTTGTTTGGAAATGCCATTTTTTAAATTGAGGTCATATTGGTTTTATAGCACCACAGATGATTCAGAGATAAGGGTCACACCTCTGCAGGTATAAATTGCCAGACCCCCACTGAGTGACCCCTAGTCCTCCACCACAATCCACTGGAAATAGCATTTTCTGGGTCAACATGGACTCCTAAATCAGGCCTGCTGATGTGTCTCATTTAAATATGTAGGGGCAAGCATGATGGGCTGTGTTCACACAAAGGAGATATCGAAACTTTTGTTTAACATTTGCCTTTGGCTTTAGAAAGCATTAATAATTTAAATAGTGAAGTCGTATTCCAAGGAACAGCTTTAAGGAAGGAACACTATCATCAATACGAAACAGGAATGAATTTTCTTTCTCTATTGTATTAATCTCTGAAATGCCTTTCAGGAACAGAAACTCCACTCTACCAACTTCTAGTTAACATGTGTTTTCCATATTTGAGACAAAAGGTTTCATTTTCAAAACACACGTGGAAACTATTGTTCGTAAGTGTGCAGGGTGATAAATCAGGTCTCTTGAAACTCAGACTGATGTACTGGTCATTTGATATAATGAATGTATCAAATGTGGCCACATAGTTACCTCTATCTCAAGTCCAATTGTCTCATGACAATGACCACAAATCCTACCTTTTGAGTGAAATCAAACAACCTGAAGATTATGTTTAGTCACTGAAATGGAGAATGAAGTATGAAGGGAACCAAGGTAACTTTGGGCATCAGCTGATCCACATCACGCAGCATATTTTCATTTAAAAGACTGTAATGTTTTGGCAACTACCTCAAGTAGAATGGTCACACGTTAATAGCTCAACTACTAGACTGTTAATTCTAGTATTAAAAGCCCCACAGGGTAGTATTAAAAGCCTCATAGGCTAGGAAGGAAAGGAGAGATTGTAATCATGGTTCCAACATGATCTAGCTAAGTGACTAGGGCCTACCTTCCTTGCGGCTTAATCTACCCATTTAGAATGGCATTAATGCAAAATGACCCCCAAAGCAACTGCTAATTTGGATTTTTTAAAATTTTATGGTGTTACTTCACTGAATAAGAACAAATATAAAATTCAGGTTAACAGAGATAATAATTTTGGTTTATCATTAGTTTTAGCCGCCTATACTTTTAAAGATTTGCTCACAAATACTAATCTATGTCAGAGTCTGCACACTTACACTCTATATCTACACCAAGATGACTGTTAGAAAACAACTCAAAGATATTGACTTCACCAATCTGACTATATGAAGTTTGGGCTGACAGGATTGTCATTTTCAACGTCAACAGGCTGTCGATCTTTAACGTCCTGGTGGCTTTGGTTCCTGGCAGTGTTTGTCTAGTAAACCTCAATTGCCACTTCTGTGACAGAGCCATACAACTCAACGCGGAGTTTTGAAGTGATATTTGAAAAGTATTTTTACTGCTTTCCCAGCACTGTCCGTCCACCTGCTGAGGAGGTGCAGTCACAAGGCGACTGGCTGGCAAAAGTCGTTACAAATACATCTGGAAACCTTCTCTATTTAAGGTCACGAGTCACTCCCCCTAATTTTATGTCACTAGAAAAATATTTTTTAAAGCCCACCAAAGGGCTCTAAGGTAATGAGTAAGACAGGCTGTGAAAGAATATCACAGAGTCTTCTCCCTGGGCACCCCCAGGTCACTGGGGACCACGTGTGGTCCTGGTGCAGCAACTTCTATTTTCAGAATGTCTTTCCTGAAAAGTTTCCATAAGCAAAATGTACATTTGCTGAGTTGATCTCAAGCAGAGCTCTCAACTCATACATCGAGGTTTCGAACTAGCAATGCAACTTAAATGGCTGAATGGATTTCCTTCAGAGTAAAACGCTGATAACTGATTCAAGTAACCTAGATTTGTGCAAACACCTCTTTCCATGAATTCATGACAATAATAAAAAAAAAAAGGTGATTATCCAACCGGAGCGCATTTGTGTTCCCGTTAGTTTACACGCTGGTAAGTTAGGTGTCTGCTTTGCCATAAGTCCCCTCTGGAGGTCGGTAGTACTTGGGGAAAGCCATCAGCTGTAGCATGTTGAAAGCATACTTTCTGCATTTGATATTCTTCAGCACATTCTCTATGCGGCATCCTTCTCTGGTGAAAGGGGAAAAAGTACAACTTCATGAAACACAGAATAAATAAATATGCTTTATTTGTTTTCAATGCAGAGTTGCAGCAACAGTCCAAGTAAAAATAACAAAGATTCAACTCTACATTTTTTTCCCCCACAAATGATGATACATCTTACAAAATTAAATCCTAGGCCAGGCCCAATACCATTATTGCCCTCAGCAAAAGATGATTAAAGTCTCTTTTTGCTCTTAACAGATATTTAAGATTTAATAAACTCTTTAAATATAATTTGCTCCACAATACAGCTTCACTTTCATTTCATAAATATATCTGCCTTTCGTAAATAACTTTTCCACAAATTAATTTCCCAGTCTCTTTAAAACACATTAAAATCTATATGTAGCCCTAAGGATGCAGGTTCTAGGAATAAGGCATTTAATTGATTAAGTCTGGCCCTATAGATTTTTAAAGGAAAGTCTCATCTCTATTTTACTTCATTATTTTAGCTGTGCAACAAAGAGGAAAATGGCTTTCCGAGTAGCCTGGTCCACGTGCCAGCTGATCAAGGAACATACGTGGGCACAACAGCACAAAAGTCACAGGTCCTGAAAATGGCGCGTCAAGACACAACAAGACCTTGTTAGAAGGAATAGAAAAGTACTCTGAGAGCCAAATCAACCCAAACAATAGTTACAAACAGGTGAATTTAATTACAAAACATAAATAGCCATTCTCTCCATAAAGTTGCTTGACAGAAAGGGTTAATTGCAGCAAAGAAATGACATAACTAACAGTTAAGAAACCAGACAGAAGGTTCCATCAGCCAATGGCAACAAGGCCAACAGCACAGTGGACATCCGGGGCGGCACTGCCCGCTCCCCAGGACTCCTTCGGGCTCCAGTGGCTGTGCAAGAACAGTCTTCGTTTCCTTAATACGTCTAATGGGAAGAGGGAAGGAGGGGCGGGGCTTCAAGCTTCCAGGACTCTGTTCTTTGTCTTATCCCAAAGACAGTAATTTAAAAATTCTTCTTGAGCTAGTTAATAATGGGAAACACGTTTCCATGAACAAAAGAGCAAAATAATTCACTTAATGCATAGTACTTCTTTCTTTAGATCTTAGGAAAAACAGAACACGTACAATTCAAACATTTGTTGTTTGTTTTTTTTTTTTAAACTCTGTGAATCTGAAAATGTAGAAATAGTACAGCATTGTCCCCATAGTTTAAAGTCCATTGTCATTTGTAGAAAAGAAAGGAGTACAGCTGAAAACTTATTGGTATTTAGCTAATAATAATGCAAGACTTAAAATAAGCCACACGACTAGCAGGTGCGAGCTGACGAGCAGCAAGGCGACAGGGTAGAAGTGTCGAGAAGTTGGCTTGTTATCACTCAGACAGCCCGTTTCAGGGTCGTCGGATTCATTCAGTGCTCCCTGGACTTGGCTGCTGTTAAACAGGAGGGAGTCAGGGGAGAAAAGAAAACAGTATAGCAGTCACACAGCAAAGAGACCCCCACCTCGAATATGCTGAAATACAACCATCACCTCATACAACACAGCTGTTCAGAGGAGGCTTTTATGCTAAGTAATCCCAAAGGCATCTCATACTTCTACAATCAGATTAAGAAAGGAGATTCCTGGGGGCCTCCCTGGTGGGTCAAGGGGTTAAGTCTCAGCACTATGCAGCTATCCTCAGCCACTGTAGCATGAGTTCGATCCTGGCCAGGGAGCTACCCACATGGCGTAGCAGACCTCTCCTGTCTCGCCCGCTGCTCCCCTCAGCAGTGTATGTCAGTGGATCTGCCTGTTCTGCTCCCCAATCTGTCTCTGGTGAATCCTCTCAACCCCCACACCTCTGGACTGCACCCTAGCTCTTGTACACGCAAATAAATCTTTAAAAAAAAAGAAGAAAGAGACTCTGTGATGATATTCACATGGGTTGAATCTATTTGCAAGGAAAAGCCAAATAAGCATAATAGCACAAATAAACAAGACAGCACAAATAAAACTAAATTATGGGCCTGCTCATATAAATCTGATGAACACACCTTCGGACCATGAAATGAGAAGGACAACACGTGCGGAAGTGAGTGAATGTGTCCGGCACAGCTAAACACACCTGTGCTGGTGTTCCCGCTGATGTGTTTAAAGTAATAAAGGTGACTTATGGGAACACCCGCCTGTTGTCCTTGCCAGCCTTAGATGAGTTGAACAAAATCCAGCTCAGCACCCACCTGTTAGCTCAGCTCATAAATTACAGTGTCTCCTTTCTATCTGACTCAGATGAGGCCAAACTTCTCCCCTATGGACGCCTGGTCTTAAAAGAGATCCCAATTGTTGTATATTTTCTATACGAATTTTAAGAATGGGTGTTTGTCATTGGGTTTAAAAGCTGTTTTGATTATGGCCAATCTGAAACATGCCTCACTGAATAGAAGTTGAAAATAATTCTTGTCTGCAGGGTGTTTCATCACTACGCAGAGTTCATGATCTCAGTTACACTCAGGTGTCAGGGGCAGTTTTGAGCTCCAGCAGCCCTTCCTGGTTGAGGTAGAAAGCTGGTTGTTGCTCAGGCCAACGGGAAGTGCCACACAAAAACAACTTCTAAACACGCACCTCAGCTGCCAGGGCCCCCTTTCAGCCATTCGCAAATCCTGAAAACCTCCAATTGTTGAAATGTTGGACCAGGCATCCAGGGAATCGGTGGCCACATTTGGACAAACACAATCACACATCCATCAAACAAGCAATCTCAGTTTACAACACCCAACTAATTGCACTGTGGTCTGTAGTTTTCTTGTTGTTTGGTAAGACCTAAGGACTGTGGCTGTGGGACAAAATGAAGTAGAAGCTAATCTGGGAAGCAAGTGAGCTAACGGGAGGGTTATGTTGGACTTGGAAAATTGCTACTGGCAGTTGCACTAGTAACTGGGTTACTCACAGAACTCTCTGTTGTATCAGGCAGGGAATATGCAATGGATTTGAAAACGTGAGCTGCTGATCTGGCCGTGGCTGCCACGGGTGGTGCTGGTCTGATGGCCATTCGAGCAGTGAGTTTGCATTGATGTTACTTGTTTATGCTTCTGCAGAATTTGTTTGGGCAAAACGCCAGAGGCCACATTTACACAAACCAGTCAATTTAACAGGTCACATAGATCTGAATTTGTTTAAAATACCAGAACAACAATGCTACGGTTGAAAGGAAGAATTGAATGTGGTCTCCTGCTTGAACAATTCTGGGGCTGAGGAAGAAACGCTTTTCAAAGAAGTTCGTTCCACACACAGTTGTGGCAGGATTGGAATCAGAGAGAAAGTATGTGGACACGAGGGGTTGGGGGCTAAAAGGCCCAGGGAGGCTGGACAGTTGACCTTGAGGTCATCTTGAGTTTTCTGACATATGAAGTAAAGCAAGAGACTGTAAAGTAATGCTGGGCTTATCCCTAGGCCACCTCTCAGCACCTGCTGGGTACAAAACTTTAGCAAATATTCAACCTCCCCATTGCAAATTTTTCCATATGCAGAGGACCAGGAGAGCTAAAAGGATTAAATCAGATGGTGCATGCAAAAAACTCAGCATAGATGTTAGCTGTTGTCATTACTGTTATCTCCAGTATGTCATCACTGGTGTTCCCTCCCGCTCCATTGTAAGGTGCAGGTCATCCATAGCAACCTTTCCAACTCTGTTGTCAGTTGTCAGTTCACTGTTAGGGAAGAAGTCAGTTTCCTACAGCCCATTGCCTGGCTATCTATCTATATCTATCTATCTGTCTATCTATCTGTCTATCTATCTATCTATCTATCTATCTATCTATCTATCTATCTATCTATCTTCTAATCTATCATCTTTTTTCTAATCTATCTAGCATAGTATAAAAATTAAGGTTATAAATTTAGTTTAGGTATGAACCACAATCTATCAACATAGAAGTACAGAAACACTCTTTCTTCCCAACACGGTGCCTGGGAGCTCAGCTCTGGCTAAGGAGTGACCCCCGGGATGAAGAGTAAGTTGAAAGGAGGCTAGAACTTCCTCAAAGGCAGGTGGCTAGTTCAGACCTGCTGGCTTTCTCCAAACAACAGCCAGAGCATATTTAACATTTTCCAGTCTGCTTGTTGTCTAGGCCTTTCAAGGGAAAACCACTAAATCAAAAGGTGGTCTTTGCGTGGGGGTGGAGGGGCAGCTTTATGATTCAATTAATTTGCTGTTCACTTGAAGCAGGAAGTTGCTAAGTCTGCTGCATGGAGTCTGCTGCTTGCTGGAGCAGAAAGTTCCTACGGTGTGCTGCTTGTCCACAGTAGTAGCCAGGGCTACTGGACTCCCTTCCCAAATAATACAGAAGGTCTATGACGGATGGTGTAACAAGTTTCCACATACAAACTAAAACCCTAGCACTCCTGCAATTCGGGGCTCACTTTTTTGCGAGTGATCCCACAAAGCCTGCTGGTGTGACAATTAAATCTCTCTCTCCACCTCTCCAAGTGCCGCCTGATTTCTCTGGGAAATTGCCCTAACACACTTCACTCTCTGGAGGTTAGAACACTCTGGCGACTGCCTCCCAGGCGCCCCTCCCCCCCCGCGTCACGCAGGTGGGACAGGAGGCAGCGGAACCCATAGGCTGCACAGAAGTCACAGCTGCTGACTGGCAGAGACCTCTGTGGAGCAGCTCCTTTGCTGTCTGCTGAGAATGGCACAAATGGGCACTTCTCTGTGGCCTCAAATTTGTAAGTACTTTGCAAGTGCAAACGGCAAAGCATGTGTTAAGTAATCAGATTAGTCATTTCCTCACCAGGAGGTTATGACAGCTCATGGACAAGTGGCTGCCATGGAAGGTGCCCTGACAATCCAGTGACACTAGCTTTAGCCACCACTGCCTGGGGGGGTCACCGTGGAAGCTGTCTCTACTGATTGTGTGACAGGATCAGGCATTTCAGGGCAGTTCCTGAATCTGCAGGACAGAAAAGGATTTTTTTCTTCAAAGACCTGTCAAAACAATCACTTAAAATAGAAACAAGTATGAGGAAA